AGTGAAGATCCAGGTAAGTTGCAAGCATTTCTAGATAACTTGAATGCCAGTGTAGCCATATTCGGTATGCGTTTTGCACCTTCAAAGTGTAAAATGTTACTACAAGAATGGGTTGGTCCAGCACCCAGCCTCACTCTTACTGGAGAAGTAATAGAGCAGGTAGATAAGTTTTATTATTTGGGCAGCTACATCTCACCCGGTGGAGGCATCACGGACAAAGTGTTAGCTAGCATACAGAAGGCTCGGTTGGTGTATGCCAACTTCAGACATCTATGGCACCGTCGCGACATCCGGCTGTCTGTGAAGGGTCAAGCGTATGCCGCAACAGTTCGGCCAGTCCTGCTATACGGTTCAGAAACTTGTTCATTAGGAAAACAAGATAAAGACAGACTGTCGGTGTTTGAGCACCGCTGTCTACGCAGCATTGCACGAATCTGGTGGAGTAGCCGGATGAGCAATGTTGAGGTTAGGGGCAGAGTTTTGGGTAAACACAGTCGCCCACTGGAGCAAGTGATCGACCTCCATAGATTACGTTGGCTGGGACGTGTCACGCATGTCACCAGGTAGGTTACCACGGCGAGCGATGTTCGTCGAAGCAGATACCAAGTGGAAAAAAACCAAGGGTGGTCAAGTTAAGACCTGGCACGAGGGTATGAAAACCCTAACCAGGAAACTGGGTCACATAGGTCCTGTTAGGCTTCCTGGCTGGGGACCTCGGGATGATCGTAACCGATGGTTAGAGACACTGAGCGATATGGCTGGGTGTCGTAAACAGTGGCGTTCGTGCATCTCCTCAATTTCCTTGCAACCTTAGACCACTGAACTTCTCCATTTTCTTTTTGACTCCACTTTCAAGTTTCCTTTCTTCTCCTATTCTTCATCCCAATGGGCGGCCAAAAGGCAGCAACCAAAACCGGCGCTCGAAGATGCGTGGTTAATGGTTGTTCAAACTGAACTGAATAATGTTAAAACTTCGGGCTCGGACTACTTCGATCGTAACTCCATCCCTCTAACTGATTCTTTGGATATTTCCTTGACCCCAGCGCTTACAATTACAATTAACGACCGTCTTTAACTCTTAGGGTCCCAGTATCTTAGCCATAAACCTACAAGTATTGAATTGCTGCGGAGTGTATTGGTGATTTGTTCGTTGATTTGGTTTCGTTTAACTGTAGAAACACTTCCAATGCCATCCATGTGAAGTATCGTTTCGCTGTTTGCATGTGCGTTAGGTCGAACATGTTGCCGCTCAGATGTGATTGATAAAACGATAAACGCGGGTGAAAATTACGCTCCTATCAGTTCATT